GGGATAAACAAAAATCTATAACTCGAATTCATATTATATTATCCATCCACTGATGAGGAATTTCAAATATCAAGTTGCTTCTACAAAGTTTTCTTGATGAAACCACACCATAAAGCTATCTATCACGAGTTTTGGTTGATTTTATTCCAAGTATTATCATCAAATCTTCCATCATTAAGAGTGTAAAACAAAGTCAAAAATTGAGCAAAATGAGTTTGTTTGAGTAATTAAAGAGCTGTCTACCTTTAGACATCACCTGAGTTCGAGTCTCACCAGCAATATAGCAATCCCCTTCCTTCCCCTATACTCTCAAGAGTTGATCAAATCTATCATCATACATAAAAAAAATTAATGTCAAGAACTTACATACTATATTTGCCCCAAAAAAAATAGAAAAAAAAGAACTTGCATACTCAACTCAACAAACGAAGCTTTGTCTCAATTTTTATGGGATCGGCTATATAAATTATGTTATGCAAGATTAAGAATTTAAAATTTACATAGTGACCGAAAATTTTATACAATTTGAAATTTCAACATGAATTGATCATTACCATGAAAAAGAGTATTTGATAATTGAAATGTGGGTACAAAACTAAGTTCGTCACGAAATATCCAAAATGTTATTTTTTCCATAAGAACCGAAGTGATTTAATTTGTAAATTCTTATGTTTTGTGGTGTTTTCACGTTGTTTAATATATTTTGAAAACAAAAATTCAAACTTTTTTATTTGTTTTCATTTTATTTTCAAAATATTTATATTTTTAATTTTACTGAAACTATTCATCGAAACGAAATTTCAATCCTGGAGGGTTTCTCATTTCAAATGGCAGCCAAAATCTAATTAAGAAATTAAAGCTATCCTATATCCAAATTGCATGAATGAACTCCACTCAAGTACAACATAAAACTTCAACACAAATGTAAAATTATTGAACACAGATTGCAGCAGGCCTAAAAAAGAAACCTATTCTCATGGTCTGAAAGTAGTGCTTGAGGTTAATTAAAAACCTAGAAAGCTTAAGTGCAAACTATCACCAAATCAAGTTCTACCTAGAAATTGGTTTACAGAATTATTAGACTGAGAGGAGCTTAAAACTCATTATAATTGCCTATAATAGTGAGTTCAACTCATCACGAACACTCAACTAAAAAGGTCATTACCCAATTTGATTTCCGCTATACCCCTGGGTATAGAACAAACAATTGCCTATAATAGTGAGTTCAACTCGTCACGAACACTCAATTAAAAAGGTCATTATCCAATTTGATTTCCGCTATACCTCTGGGTATATAAACAAACTTGGACATTATAACACATAATTAGATGTTAATTATCAATGAGTCAACTTCTTCAGGTATAAATAGCAAAAAGCCTTTGGGTCTCAGGTATGCAATTTAGAGCTAGACTTGATATTCATATTCCCTTCTCTCACATTGACTGACTTATGCATCGGAGTGGATATGCTGAATACACATCCGGCCATATTCTAACCCTTCTAACCTCGTTCCTTGTTTCAAGACTCTTCGCTGTGACTCGGTCCAGGTGTTGCTATGTCATCGATTGTGCTGGAATCATCTCGTCCAAATTACTATTATATTTGATTTTGCGAGTCCGCTGCATATCACATTAATCCATCTTTATCATGAAAAATCGATTCAACATTAAATCACACTATGCTGTCTTTTCCGGGCTATGGCGTTGGTCATATTAGCTATTTATACCTCATGCTCAATTTCAAGCAACATATGTGCATAATTAGATGTTAATAGTACATATCACCTGTATTTCAAGATAAGCAAACGATCTTGAGAAATACATATGAAGAAGTTGTCAAAAATCGAAAATCCGAGTTATCCTTTTTCTGACAAGAAGATTTTCCAGAAAACATGGACTTGAGCTTTCCTACATAGGAGTTTTTAACTAGCCAGTCTGTTTCTGGTACTATTAAATGTTATACTTCACCTATGTTTTCAAAGAAACCTCGAGAAAAAATGGATAAAGAAGCTGTCAAATTCCAAATGTAATTTAAAACATTTTTCTGTCAACAAGATTTTCCAAATGAGAAATAGTCAGAACCTCTAATCCTGAGGACCCAAATATGCAAAGGTCTGATGCATTTGAAACCAACGGAAACTTCCTCTCATATCCACTGTCATGTATTGTTACTTGCTTTGCTTGATCTGCCGTCATGATTCTTGAACTATATAAACAACATTACCATGCTTAGATTTTCACAAGTTAGCAAGATTAATCCTCTTGTTCCATAGCCATTGCCTAAATAATCGAAGCAACATGAAGAAGACGGTAGCTGAAATTCTTGCATATGTCGCCCTATGGGATGTGGTTTCCTCTCTTGCATAGGCCTCTGATCCCAGTCCTCTTCAGGACTTCTGTGTTGCTGTCAATGATTCTAAAGCTGCTGGTAAATGATGTTCCTCTCCATTTCAAAGCTTAGTAGAAATATTTGTATCAATCTAAATTTCTTTGTTATCATATTCTAATGCTTGCAAATTTTACTGTTTATGTGCAGTGTTTGTGAATGGGAATTTCTGCCAGGACCCAAAGATGGCCACGGCTAATGATTTTTTCTTCCCCGGGCTCAACATCCCTGGTAACACGTCTAATAAACTCGGGTCCATGGTCACGCCTGTAACAGTTGCACAAATTGGTGGACTAAACACCCTTGGAATTTCTATGGCACCCCTTGATTTTGCACCATATGGCCTCAACCCTCCTCACACACACCCTCGTGGTACCGAGATCCTCACTGTCATGGAAGGCACCCTCTATGTGGGATTTGTTACTTCCAACCCCGATAATCGTCTCATAAGCAAGGTCCTATGCCAAGGAGATGTGTTTGTGTTCCCTATTGGTCTCATTCACTTCCAGCTAAATGTTGGAAACACACCTGCCGTAGCTATTGCAGCATTGAGCAGTCAGAATCCAGGAGTAATCAGCATTGCAAATGTAGTGTTCGGCTAGAAGCCAACTATCTCTGTTGATGTTCTCACCAAGGCCTTCCAGGTTGACAAAAATGTGGTTAACTATCTTGAAGCTCAGTTCTGGATTGATAACAATGGGCACTAAAAAGACATTTACATGATTGCTATTTCAAAGTTTATTAATTGTTTGAATAAAGAATTTACTAATTGTATAAATAAAGAACTGCATACTTTGCCATTCTTAAAATAAAATGGGCCATGTTTATGAATATGACATACCAGAACACTATCTGTGTGTGTGTTCCAAGTCAGTGAATCAGTCTCAATGATAATGCTGGACATATCATAAAAAACATGGTTCAGTGTCGACCAATTCAATTTATCTACTGACACTTTCCGATCTTGACTGAACTTGTCCGGACTATCACAGAGTCAAACCAAGCTATCTGATCATCAGCACCGAATTTCGTATCGACATGGTTTGGCATAAATTTTTCATCATGTTCAACTTCTTCGTCTAATTATAATTTCTTTGATTAAAAATCAAGTCAATTTGTATGGTATACAATAGGCCTCGAAATGCCATGACTAAGCAATCAAATTGTCTAATCTATATAATAAAGTAGAACTGAATTTGAATTTTTAAGAAAAAGAGAGGTCAAGATCGTTTTAAGACAAAACATAAACATATCTAACAGACAACGTAATTTCAACATAAAAGACGGTGCAGATCATCTCATAAATATTGATCCGACTATTATAATTGAACTTAACTCTAACACTCTTATCTCTTATATAACTCTCTCTCTTATCTCTTAGACGTTTTAAACACACTATCTCATCTCTTTTCTCTCTATATATATATCTATATAATAAAGTAGTTAGATTTCTTTATCTTTAATTTTTCACGGCTCAAATCTATTTACGATTATTGATCCGACGGTCCTCATGCCAAAATTTTTTATGACTCCTATCTCTTATTTAACTCTCTCTATCTTATCTATACTAATAAGATAGAGGTGATTTCAAACTTCCCAAATTGCAATCAATCTTCTCAATTTAGAAAAGCAGAAGAGTAGTTAGGATTTAATTGTAGTTTAAATAAACAGTTCAAATCTCATCTAAACCTATCTAATTAAATTCAATGACTCACAATCTATTCCATCTAAAACCCAAACCTGCCCATTTTAGCTGTACACACACGGCACCCCAAGTACTCCAGCCCAAGCCAAACTATTTCTCTCTCTCTTTCTCCTCTGCGGATATAGACCCAATTCAGGCCCCTTATTTCCTTCTCTCTCACTCTCTCACCGATCGCTCCTCTGTCATGGCTTAATCAGTAGATGTCACCTAGGTATATATATATTTCTCTCTCCCTCTAACCCCCACAAGCAATTCAGCCCCAATCTATGTTTGCCCTCTTTCTCCTTCTCTCTATGTATTGTCTTCTCTCTCAAAAACCCACTGCCACCTTCCCTCACCGACTGTCCATTTTCAGAGAGCCATTTAGACCACCACCATTAACCGCCACGCTTCTGCTCTCTATGTATTGTCTTCTCTCTCAAAGACCCACTGTTACCCTTCCTCACTGACTGTCCATATTCAGAGAGTCATTTAGACCACCATCATCGACTGCCACCCACTCTCTGTAACACTCACTCTGTCTCTCAGTAATGCCAAAGCAAAAGATAATTCGAACACCAGGTGTTTGTAGTATTGCTTCAACTAGGTGGATTTTTCTATCTATTTGGTTTTTCACTAATTGTTCATCTCTCTAATTTTTTATTTCTTGTCCATGTTTTTTAGTTTCATTTTTCATCTATCTAGTTTATTTTCTTGTTTTCAGTCTCGAGCTTCTGTTTTATTTTTTTCATTTTATCTATTGTGTGTTTGTAAAATCTGAAAATTTCATATTTGTTTTGGTTATTCTTTAGCGTCTACTCCAAAGTAAGTTATGTTGCGTGTTTGTTCATTTGTAGTAATTTGTTCTTCATCTTCTTTTTTTTTAATGTCATTGTTTTTTGAAAGGTTTGACGCATAGAAACTAATGAAAAATATGAGCAACGAAGGCAAGAACCACGATCTTGACAAAGGTAATGTTGTCCTTTCTTGATATTATTTTTTAGCATGTTTATGTAGAGGACTATATAGTTTGAACAAAATTAAAAAATTGAAATTCTTCATTAAATTAGCTCTCCTTTTTTTATATTTGATTATAAGAATTGTTTTGTTGTGTGCTTGGCTGCCTATAATAGCATATCAATTACTTTAGTTGTTTATTTGAATTTTTTTCAAATTGGGTGTTAACTTAGGTGTTTTGTAGGAAATTGAATGTTATAGTTTCAAATTGGTTGTTCAGTTTTGAGCAATTGATGCTAGGGTTTTCAATTTGGGATTTTTCATAAAATCGTGTTTGTCACATTTCAAATTTGGGTTATTTTCATGAAATAGAATTGTAGGGTTTTAATTGAATGTTATAGTTGGTTATAGTATTTTGATTGAATGTTAGAGCAGTTATGAAAATGAACTTGAATGTGAGGTTTTGTAACGCCCCAAAAACCACCCTAGAAGACATTACCTTCTAAAACCATTCATACCACGGGAACAACTAATAAAATACATAAATAATCGGGGTCCTTAATTTAATAAAATTCAGGCAGAGACTCCTTTGTTCGGGGAGCTCTACCCAAAACACAACCTCTGCAATTATACAACATTGATCATATCGGGTCCATTTATCCCTAAAATAGTTATAACATTATCCAAAAGAATAAGCTCAAACCAGGCTACTACATCAAAAGAATTACATTTGAACTTAGCAGCGGAATAAATAAAATACTAGATTTACATGATTGTACATAATCGTTCTTAATCTAGCACAAAAATAAATGACATCTCTAGATGTCCCACTCGGGATCCAAATACCCCTCTAATAAAGCTTCTCCATGGCCTAGCTCGTTAGCACCGAGCTCTTCTTCTGGCTCATAATCTGTAAAATGTTTAACTGTAGGGGGTGAGCACGAAACTCTGTAGGAAAAATCCTCCCAAACTTGAACAAGGTTTAGAAAATAGATAAAAATTGGTTGGTCTCATTTCGTAAATAACATATATCAATTTTTGTAAGGAAAAACATGGCATTTTAAATAGATCCCCAGTTTAAACCGTAACAATCATAAAGTGAAAGGATAAAGTAAATTTCACAACAATATATCATTTTCAAATTTAAGTCATTTAGGAAGGGCACCTTCTGATGCATTGTCTCATACCAGTGCACTGGCAAGACGATCCAACCCATTATCCCATGTATATTGGTGCATCCCCTTACCATGTATGTTGATTGCTTCTCATGAATCTACCTAACGATTATACCTAGTCCACTAATCACAATCACAAGCACTTTAGGAACGGGCGTCTATCTTCCCAATGGCAGTAACGAGTCCTTTCCCAAGAAAAATATATCATCCCTTGTTCGAACTCCAGTGAATGATAGTGGTCGCATTATCAAATGACAATCCACTACAAGTGTTAGAAAACCATCTCACTCCCACTAGGATAGACTAACCTCTAATACTCTACGGCATCTCTCGATAGCAATCCAAGTCCATCACAACAACCATACAAATGAGAAAACCAAATATTCTCAATTCACCAACAATTCTAAATAAATAAAAAAATTCACAATTTCTCATTTTACAAGCATATCTCAAAAATCTCCATATTTATCATGTAACAATTCCAATAACCAATTAAGAAAAAATACAAAAGATCACATAAATACCATTGTGTTGTTCAATACGAAACACTAAAGTTTTGAAATCAAGAATAAAGGAAAAATCAAGAGAAAAACTCATTTCTCTTGAAATCTAAAATTTTGAATATGAGAAAAGAATTTTGATGGTTACTCAACCATCCCATTGTTTAAAACATGCTAACATTTATAAAAATATCAAGAATTCATGATTTCATAGCATATTAATATGATGTAGAGTCAAAGAAAACATAGATGTATAACCTTAGCCTCAATGTAAGAGAATAGAAGAAAACCCTACCTTGAATCAAAGTTCCAAACCAAAACCCAAGCTTTAGAGCCTTTCTTCTTCCCTTTTATTTTTCTTTTTTTCTTCTCCTATGGTTTTAAGAGGTTTGGGGTGAGAGATGTGGGAAAAAAAATGGAAGAAAAGGGCTGATATATGTGTTTTAAACACAGCAGTCCGCGACAGTTACTGTTCATAGGCTGATTTTTGAGTTTTTTTTAAAATTACGATTTTGCCACTAAAAATTTTCAATTTGATTCATATGACTACCTTAAGTTTTTCGACGTTCCGGATTCATTTTTAGTGTTATTTTAACCTAAAAATATTTATTTTTATGATTTATTTCAAACATAAAATAAATTTATACTCGAAACATTAAAATTACTATTTTATTCCTCCTTAGTATTTATTCTTATGGTTTCAATATATATGGTTTATTCTTACGTCATTACATATATGAGAATCACTAAACAAATACATTACTATATTAATATAAACATGTGAGGGTTTACACCTTCTAAGTCTAAGAAGAAAGCACAATACTTTACTATTCAAGGAACACTACAGTGCAGATTTTTTTATCAACTTCGGAGAATAAACTGATTTGACTCAGGTAGTTCTAGTATGTGTGACCTATATGGTTGGAAAGATATACGAGTTAGGAGTTCTAACAAAAATAACGGTGCACAATTTAGACTTTTCAACAAAAGTTATGATTAAATTGGTGAAAGATAGTCTGTCGGACTACTTAGTTCTTCTATACTTGTTTGGAGCCTAACTATACTTATTATTCTTATATTTTGATTTAGGATGTAAATAGAGACGTTAAATGCAAACGAAGCAAATTAGACGATTGTTGATAGTTTAGAAATGTGGGGGTTTACAATCCACCCCCTTAAAAGAAAGTTTTATCCTCGAAACTTAATCATCGAGTTAGTCAATCTAATTCTAATTGACCACAAGTTCTCAATGCATATTAATCCCTTAAGCATGAAATCCAAGATCA